ATATATATATATTTATGCATTCTTTAGTACACAGTTTATTATACATCCTTGAACTGTGTTGTTATAGTACCTATTTTGATAATTATACCTTTATTGAATTTATATCACACATTTATTTGCTGTATTGTAGCCAAATAATGAGTCATGATTTAATCCACATCATGCAAAATAGTTTTATAATGTTGTGGAAATTACTTGAATTGTGCAAATAGTCGATATGAAACGAAAATGTTTAAATTCTTCATCATTTAACGGCTGAATTGAAAAGTTCAAATGGTCTTGAAAAGACCGTAAAACTCCATTGTATTGCATGGCGTACGAACAATGTAAACAAACACTTACAATAAATAATTATTATTCAATTTGCTTGAATTGATTGTATAAATTGAATGAATAGTATCCTGACTCTATTTAAGATAATATAAAATGACTTTATTTATGTATTATTTGCAGCAAAATAATTCAAAAATATATCTGTATGCCTCATTTTATTGATTTACATATAAATTACACCATATATAATCTATGCCTTTATTTGCTCGCGTGTTTGTGATCATAACAAGGAATACGTGTATAGCAAATGATCTGAAAGTGACAAAATAAACATTTAAAAATGAATAATTGGAAATATGAAAACATATAAATCGAATTTATGGTTGTTTTTTTTTATCTCCCTGGATCATAAAATCAAAGCTCACAGCAAAGGTTTTTATATTTTTAATTTCCTTTTTACAAGTCAAATGAAAGTTTGAAAATTATTTTTACAGCAATACATGTTTTCGCTAAATTGCGTGCAAACAACGCTAAGCTTCGTGACGCTGTTCATTTGAAATCCTTAAATATTTATTCCGCAAATCACTCATTTGAATGCTCGCCATTATTTTCAGTAATTTTGTCGTCGTGTTAACTGCCGCATCGAACATCACGAATTCCGTGACCATTTCGGGCGTTACTGTACAAAGTTGGCTTCAAAAAGTTTTTTTTTTCTTTTTTTTTCGATAATTTATTTTCCTTTTTCACAGCGGATATTTTCTTGTTTTACTGCACCTTTCCGCTAAACACAGAAAATGATCAACAATTAATATGTTGACTGCGTTTATCAATGGCTAAGGTCACATTTTATGTATTTCTATATCTTGTTGGAAAAGAAATATTTAACTGCTCACTTTGAAAAATATTTCATCTTGACACTAGATGTCGCCGTGATCCATTTTTATGCTCGGCAGGGAAATATTTCGAGTTGTGAATAAGATTCTCATATCTCAGCTATAAAATAAGGATTATGTTTGTGGGTGGTAAAATTATAGTTCTTTAGTTAAGTATTTCTTAGAAACTGCTGTCAAGTTTTTAAGTCGCATAATGGGCAGTTTTCTTCCCTGACTGCGCCGTAAAATATTTCTAAATCCTTAACTACTACACTTAAAATATTTTTTTGAAGTAGAAACCGACATTTATACCTTTATTTAAAGTTTACGTATTTTAAAAAGAGATCGTGTATCACTTTTAACCATTTTTGAGATTCATTAGTTATTCAACTATTTTATTCATGTCTTAAACTATTTTTTGCAAGGTTATTTTTTGAAAGAGGAAGTATTTTTTTACAGAGCTTGAAAATTTGTTTCATTTAAATAATTTAAACTAGACTAGCTTGAAAATGTTTTTCAGTATCGTAACTATACTAATAAATGCTTTTTTAATGGTTACTGCTTGATTTAAAGTTCTTTTTCTTTTTTTCATCACCGCTTTTTTTAAAATGACCTTAATGTTTTAACGTACGCAATAGTTGGAGAAGAATATATTTCTTTTAAATGAATCAATTAACCATAAAAGATGCTTTTCTTAAATTGGAAAAAATTTAGATATTACTTTTCCTATGTAATGTTAATTAATTATAGACCCTTTCATAAAATATTATTAAAAAAGTAATTATTATTCTTTAAATTTATCAAAAAAAAACTTAAAACATTTAAATTTGACAAAAAAATAAATTTCTTTAAAAACAAAAGATTTTTTTTATTAGTTTTATCGAGAAAAAAATCTGCTTTTTATATACAGTGTTAAAATAATTTTATTAAAATTTACATTATTAACAATATTTGCTCATCGCGAGATACTATTCAGCCCTCCCACAAAATACGTGTAATTAGGTGTATGAACGAATACCTTTTTGTTTTTAAATATTTTTAATTAAAACTTTTTAATGATTTCCAGATTTTATAATTTTTACCATAAATGCATGTAAATTCGTAATTTGTGAAGGTATTAAATACTAATACACTTATATGAATTGAACATTTTAAATATGTAAGACAGTATACTAAATGTTAAATAAATGAATGGTAATAGTAAAAATAGTAAACTTAATGCTTAATATTTAGAGAACTTTCTTATTTTGCTTTCTACATTGAGTACTTTTAAAAATGAACAATTTATCAATATTAGATTAAAAACGGTTAAAAGCATAATTGCACACGCGCCTACTTAAACAATATACATAAAGAAACAACATTCATTTATAGATATAATAATGGTTCATAATTTATATCTGCAAGTAAGTGAAAAGTCAAGTCACATAAATTTTAAATTTAAAATTCGAAGGCTTGTTTGTTGCTCATGAAAAAAATCGAGACAACAAATTAAAAGAGTAGTAAAATAAGGACCTTTTTCGCTTCAAACCCTCACTTTTAAAAACGGAAAACGACAAACTAAAATTAAAATTATACAAGCAAGTTTCATTGCATAAGAATAGTAAATCATAATTTTTTTTAAATTTCAGTATTACTTTGTACAGAAAAAAAATATCTGGTTCTGTTCTGTTGCATTAAAAACTAACCATCATCAATTAGTTAATATTTCTTTATACAAAACCTTTATTTAGAACTTTATATCCAACTCAAGCCTTCATTAATCGAATAATTTTAAGGTAGGGATTCAGATCTCGAAATGAAAACTCAGAAAATATGTCGCTTTCAAAGTAATTTATTGAATGATCACGTAATTGACCATTTATAAAATTCCTTGTTATGATTACTGCATTGTTGATCGAAATCGATCTTTTGTCATCGGTCCCTAAGTTTGAACTATCAAAAATTATCAATCGATTTTACTAACAGTTTTAATATAGATAAAAATACATTGGATTGAAAATACAAATCTCTCGATTTTTGAAATTGATCATCGGTTTTCGTAAAAAAATACAACGTTATGAACACACAGAGAAATTAAGAATATTAGAACAAAAAGTTATAAAATCATGGAAAAAAATACGACATTCTTTTACCAGGAATTCCATGACAACTACGAACCCTCATATTGATGTTGGTAACTATATCAACCCGTTTAAAAGAGTGACAAGTATTAAAATTACTTATTTTTTTCTTATCTTTCAGAATATGATAGATATTACGTGTTTAACTTGAAACAAGAATAAAAAGAAGAAGTGCACACACTTTTAAATTGTTAGAGCAGAAACGTTAAAAAATTTTTTTTTTTGTAAAATGGAGCAGAAATGGCATAAGGTTTATTTATTTTTATTGTTTTTGTAAGAAAAAATTCCTTCACACACATTTTGATGGCAAAACACTGTAAGAACTCACATTATATTTTACTTTTGAATTCTGATGTTTAAAATTTCTATAGTTTACATTTAGTTTTTTTTCCTTCGAAGTTTTTTATGCTACATTAATAACAAGCATGACTTACCATTTTATCTCCTAAGTTGTGAACTTTACAGTGGAGATAGACAGTTTGACCTAGTTGTGTTGTAATATTTCTTGGCACTGCAGGATCAAAAGTAGGCTGTTCTACTTTTGATAAGAGATGAGAATGTCCTACTAAAATAGGGGATCTTTTTGACTTAGATGCACTTGTATTGTTCGGTAGCGAACACAAGCAACCTGTGTCTTGAGTACTTGCTTCTGGGGAGGAAGCTGTAAAAAATTAAATTTATATGTATTAATATTACTATAAAAAATAATAAATTTAAAGACAATATATTTATATTAGAGAGATTGTAACATTTAAGTAAATTATTGTTCAAAACAGGTGATTATAGCTCATATATGCACTATTAGAATTTTCTTTCTAAAATTCTGTTCGAACAACCAGCAACAGTTGGTCCATCCAATACGGTAAAAACATTTTTTTTACCTTTACGATTTTAAAGTGTATAAAAATTATACATTATAAAATCATATAATACAGATAACTAAGCTTCAAAAATTAAAATATTGTTCTTATTTCTCACCCAAAACTATGCATACATGTTTTAACAGCGAAGTTATATTTCTATTGATGTATTGCAGTGTAGAAAGCGACAAACGTCATGCTAGCTCATTCTGGATCGCAAATAAACTACTGGCGATATTTTTTTGAATATCGGCAGTATTTTTCAAGAAAACATTGATGTCTGTGCATGTAAAAATAATCCTTAAATAGTGTAAATGTGCAAGAGTTTGGTGTGAGCTTATTTCATTTTTAGTGTTGATTTAAATTGTATATGAAAGCTCTATTTGGTGTTAACCAGAAATAAAGTGTTTCTTCACACAGTTTATTGGGTTGTTGAACACCATATTAAGAGGGATAGTGCACCACAGGTTTTGCAGAGTGCTAAGAGAGAATATAATAAAAAATTCTATGCAAAATTATGATCATTATAAAGCTTTTCAATGCACTAAGGAAACATCATTTGAAATAAAAATTAGAGTTTGATGAAATGTAATTTTACTAAGGAAAAGCTTGTGCCATGTTTTCCCTATTTCTACCAGTAACAGGTGATTACTTGTCTTAGACGTGTATGTAGCAAGTAAACACAATGCAAACCGATTAAGTTAAACAAAACAACGTGAAAGAATATTATGCAAAGAATCTTGTTGCAACGTAAGAGAATCGTATTGCAATCTTTTTGAACAGTCAAAACTGGAATTTTCTCTCTTGCCTGGTAGTATCTATCTTAGAAATCTCTAAACAGCTTAGGGAATACTTCAAGATTGGAAGGGTTCATAACGTAATCACTCACACATTGCACACAACAAGCGGAAGAAAAATTGCAAGCTCGTACTATTTAATTAATACTTTTCATGCAAAATTTATATAAATATATGGTGGATAATTGATAATACTTCAACTAGAATTGTGTTACTTCAACTCCTCTCAACGGATTCGTTCTAAGATAATTAATTGTGCAATATTCGTCTAAGGAACCATTTATTGAGACAATTCGTCGTATCTGATATTTAGCGTGGGGACAACTGAAATAGGGTACATTTTTTCTCGGGCAGAAAATTCCATGACGTAAAAAAACATGTTGACATGACATTTAATGTCCGTAATAAATAAATAAATTTAATTTTCATTATTACTAGGTTTTAAACATTCACTTATTTATTTTAATTTCAAAGCCTATAATCAGAAGAGGAAAAAAAATCAAGATCATTTTCAGCTTTACATTATTTCGATGTGTAAATGTAGAGCTGGAAAAATCACATTTGAGTTTGAACCATAAACTTTGAGGATTCATCCTGTTATATGCTAGATTTATAATAGTTGCAACTCCTTAGCACTTAGCTTATTAATCTCTTTTAAGCTGGGTGCTTAAAAAATCGTTACCTCCACCGACACTCCACCCTGCAGCTGTTTTTGGCGTTTATCTTAACGTTGCAATTTGTTTTACTGCACAAAAACTAAAGACATAGAAGCTTGAAATTACTTAATTACTTGAAATGAACATTCGAGAATTAGTTCGAGAATTATTATTTTGTTAAAAAAATATTTTATGGGTCACTCCATAGTATTCAGGAATGCTACTACGGAGTTAAAATTTTGCATGCTGAAATAACCATATTTTATGAACGTAATATAGAATTTATTTCTTTTCGAAATTCCAATTTGTACAAAAATTATTGCAATTTTAAGTGAGATTTTGCTAAATTTTTTCTCACTTACTTTTGTTTTACTTTACCTTGTGCTTTGCTGTTCAAAATGCACGAGACTTATAGACTTGATATTGCAAAGGTGAAGGTGTAAAAAATGTACAAGGAGTTTGATAGAATAAAAAAAAAAATCGATTATAATTTCGAAAATAATTAAGTGCTACAGTTGTAGTAAAAATAATGTTATTCGATCTACTGTCCACTGAAATGCAACAACTGAGTTGAAATTGAAAATGCTGATATGCATTTTTAACTATAATTTTAAGGAGAGTATTTTCTTTCGACTAACCTATTTTTTCGAAAGTAATCGCAATTTATTTCTTTTTAATTCCTTGGTTGGTTGGTGTCGTATTCTCTATTGAATCATATTTCATGGTGTGCTTGAATAGTTTTTGTTATTTCTATGGCATTATAAGAATACAAATCCTCTTTTGTGGGGTAGTTTAAGAGGTGAAGGCCTGCAGCGACTGCAGGGCAGTTAAAAACATGATATGGTGTCAGTTCCACATTAAGACAGTTGCCACAGTTTCGATATTTTCTAGTCTTATCTGTAGAAATTTTCATGTTTTTATGATGTTTTGTTCTTAGTCTGATGAGAGTCGTGGCTGTCTTCCTAAGCACTTCAATTAAGTCCATAATGGGAAGNGTTAAAGCACTGCAAGAAGCAATTTTTCCGGAGGCGCTGAAGTTGTCCAAGTTGTTCTATGATATTCAGGACAAGGCTTGAGGTACCTTTGCTGAGGGCCTGTAAGGCAGACCTGCAGTCGCTGAAGATGGTGATACCACTAAGCTGCTCCGAAGGTTCAAGATTGATGTACGTTTCGATAGCCGTAGAAATGGCTATCAATTCTGCCGTAAAATTAGATGCGATTTTTCCAGCACCAGTTGCGTTTTTAATTCCTTTTAAAGAACAATTATTTATCCATTGTTACAGAAATTTAATCAAATTTTCGTAATTTTCATTTCAGAAACTCATGCTTGAATTGATGTAAAAAAAAGAATAAATAAAAAACATATTGGATGTTGCCAGATATAAATATTAATATTCAGATGGAAGTTTTTAAAAACACCTAGACTGAGTATTGAAAAATTGTTTCCGATGCAAGCTGTCATAAGGATATCGTTAAATATTGTTAACAAGTGAAGTTAATTCTTACATATTCCCGCTTATTAAGCTGCAGAAAATGTGTTTTCTAGAACATTTGATAATTTTTCAAATCCAGCTATCATTTTATTTTGTTGCGAATAAAATCTGATGAAATGATACAGTGATAAAATGCGCTGAATTAAAATTATATTAATTATATATTTTCTAAAAAAAACTTTTAAGAAAATAAAATAGAAAGATCAAGGCGGGAAAGGTTATGTCTATTAAGGTATCTGTCTAGTTTCGATAACTTTTATTTTTAAATATTAATATAAAATTTGAAACAAAAATAGTTTATTTGTTTTATTCTAGGTAAAAACTTATAAAACAAGTAAATAAAATTATTATTATTATTATTATTATATAATATGGCCATTTTTAGGTAAAAATAAAGTCCCTTTTTTATTTATACTAAACACTGTAAAAAAAATATCTATCGCCAAAGACTAAAAAAAAAAAAAAAATAGAAGATTTTATTTTGAAGATTACCTATTAGCCTTCAAAATAAAATCTTCAACAATTTTTTCTTCAATTCAATTTCTTCAATTTTTGAACTATTCTCTTAAAAGCAAGTGCATATATTACGAGTTAGAGATCAATGTAGTTAGAGATCAATATGAGTTAGGGATCAATGTAGTTAAAAAGGTAATTTTTTAAAAAATTCGCACTTGTTTTTCGAAAAAACATGCATGAAAAATGAAATTCTACTTTTTTCTCTTAGTCTGTAGTTCAAAACATGTGTGCCATAATCATTAACCTCTCATAAAAAGTTACCGACAGTTACTTAAGAACAACATGAGATATCGTATTTAAGAAGAGGTAAAAAATCTGATTTTGAGATAAACGCATTTAAGGAATTAAAATCATTAGTTTATCCACTGTTATCACCTTACACAAAAACTGTAATAACTTGTTAAAAATTTTTTGAATACAAACAAAAGTAAAGTATTTTTAGAAAGTTACAGGGATTCTAATTTTTTAATAAACTCAGTTTCAAAACTGTTGACCAAAATCATGTTTCTGCACTTGGTCAGATAACTTAAAGCTGATTCAGAGAAGAAGCGCATAATCAGGAATTGTTTTATTTCGAAGCACGTCCCATCTTCACTGAGTAATAACTTTCGTGGTAGTAGGGATACTGATTTTAAATTTTATTGATTTGCCAAAATCTATTCATCGTATTCTCAAAATGCATCAAATGGCAATAAAATCACTTTTTTTCATAAAAGGTACATTAACCTTTTTTTCCCATTGATTCTCAATGTTGTCTGAAAAAGTAATCACGCAGTTTGGTGAACCTCTGTTTGAACCTGATTATACGGACTCACAGGAAAAAATCATCTTTTTCGAGAAACAGATGTTTTTTAAGACGAATTCAGATTTTTGATTCACATTATAGGGTTCACATTATACTGCCACAAATTGGCAAATGTGGTTCAAAGGAACTTTTTAAACCGTATTTTCTACTCAGATAAAAAAAATATGGTCAAAACTGACAGATCATGGTAAATTTTACTGTGTTTCTGGACTTAAGGGAAAACACAAGGTGTCGGCAATTTTTAACGAAACGCTTTGGTAGTTGTTTAGGTAAAATAAATGATCAAATATGGTTTCAAAAATTAGGTTATGCTAAAATCTTGTAAACGTGGAAAACGTCACTAGTTTTCGTTATAATTTACCTTTCGTGTATGTATTTTTCCTCAATGTTTGGTAATATGAATCATATTTATGAATACCACATTTACCGGTAATTTGTTACCGTAGGGAAAGAAAAATTACAAAATGAATGATTTCAATACCGTATAATTTAGCCTTATTTACCAAACGTAGATTTTTCTTTTCATTTCTATAC